AAAGGAAAGTAAGAAATAGCAAACATCTTTCATGTTCATAATGTAAATTTTACTAAATTCATTTTCAAATATTTTATAAATTTTGAGAAAGAAAAAAAATTGTAGAGAGAGCAGTGAATTTATCTTTAATACTTAGGCCAGACTCTTTATTCCTTGTTTCTTGAGTTTTTACAAGTCAATTTCTTTGAGGAGGGGAAAAAATAAAATTAATTCTTTTTTTCCATTAGATTTGTGTGATTCACAAAGAATTCTAAGTGAGATCATTGATCGAAGAGAAAAAATGAAATACAATTTTATTCCATGTATAACCTGGTTGGCAATGTCACCAATTGTGGCACAATTTTCAGCATTAATGAGGGATTTCTCGGTTTTTGACGACAGAGTTTCACGGCGTGTCACCACAAACCACGCCGCCATGTTCGCCTCGTAGTCTCAAGCAGCACGCAGGGAGGTCAATACCTGAGATTCACTGTCAACCAACGTGCATAAAGTATAGATCTGCGCGAGACTTCGGTACTTTGATCATGATACTTCCATGAAAATGAAACTTGAATTTGTTAGGCGGCGGGCGGAAAAAAATGAAGATAAGAATAATTTTTTTTAGCAATTTTTGCACTCACAAGTCGGCGGGCACGAGAAATTACGCTGAAATAAACTTTTATTTTTATTTCATTTTCGGCTTCTGTTCATTCGGCGGGTTCGCGAAACAAGGAATAATAAAAGTCTGGCCTTATTAGTTGTAGTTCTCTTAGCCTCACTGTTTGTCATTGCCATTATATTTGGGTAATATTGATCACAAAAAATATAAATAAATTACAAAGTGGGAAATGAAAAGTGGTAATCGATACTGACCACAAACCCATAAAAGTATATTACATTGTGCATTTATAAGGAAGTGTCGTTAAAAATCTAAAACAAATTCTTGGGAGTCGTGAGAACCCAGCTAAGTACTTTCCTTTCTGTCGGCACTATCACACAAACATACGTACAGTGACAACTATGTAGCATACGGTAGATCCGGGAGTGAACCGCACACTGGACAAAACCTTTACTTGTTATTTCAGCCTATTCATGACTGACATCGAATGTCCCTTCTCTTCGAAGAACCGGCTTAGTGCTGGCTACGTGGCCGGCCGTGTCTCAGTGAGTAATCATGCATGATCGGTGTTTGAACTATTGGTTTGTTTGAAAATCCTGTACACAGGTACAGGTAGAGCAGTCTCACAGCACTGTACACATCATCCCAATAAACTGTTCGCCATAATACTATAAATACGTTATAAAAAAGGCAACCTAAACTGTGTTTAATTCGTCATAATCGACGTTACCGTTCTTCTGTGAGTCAGGCCCATGTCTATTATATAGGTCATAGACGCACTAACAAGTCAATTTATTTCATGTAAGAATAAAATGATGACGATCGACCGACGCACGGGCAGACGAACATTGTACAGACTCACCGAAAAGGATTTCGACTAAGACTGATATTTACAAACTGTTATTTATACTTACGAATTCACGAACTGTTCGTCGTAATCGGGAAATAGCGCTTCTCCGCGTGATCTACACTGAGAACGACTCGTGAACAAACTGCAGGTCACAATCGGTCACTGAAATTTATAGTAGTCACTGCACCTTATTTGCATATGCAGTCGGTCGCTGAGGGCGATCATTTCACGATCATCATGTGAGTCTGTTATTTTCTGTCTGCACATGTTATATTCGACTCGGACGAATTTTGTTCGGCCTAGTAGTGTGTGCATACCACACGCCAATTGAAAACAATCACATGAATGTTTTTGGGGAGGGGTAACTGGATTCGCCATTTGAATCTAAAATCCGAAGATCTACTTGAATTGTGATTTGTTTTCTTTCTTTTTCAGTACACGGACCCGTATCCGGGTAAACTCACTTGTACAAATACAGAGGCACGAAATTTTGCACGGGGGGGGGGGGGG